AAATAAGGCGGGTATAATTTAACTTGAACTATTGAAAGAAGAATGGATTATTTCTACAGTTCTGTTAGCAGCACTCACAAATCACTAGCAGCTCTTTAAACATAGAAATTGCCTTCTAAAATCAGAAGAGGCATATTATTTTTTCCCCAAATTATTCAACAATATTTTGAGATGTTTGTATACTGCATATAAAACAGAGATATGGACTAATATGTTGAATGTTTGTAACATAAATAAAAAAGAGAAAGAGAGAGAGGGAGAGATGAAGTGCTAAGTGCCAGAAAATTAATATTGAACTTTTTTCCTGTTAAATTCTGAGAAGTGAATGTCCCTGGAACACTGTTTCATACAATTGCTTGTGGGTGCAAATTGTTTCAGATGCCATAAATACTTCATTCAGCTCCAGTCAAGTAATAGCATGTCACCAACTGCAGAAGGGAAGAGAAGGCTAGAGGATGGTTCTCTAACAGGTGCCAACTGAGAGTGCTCTGAGAGGAAGGAGCTCAGCATCTTCAGTGGTCAGGATGGAAGGAAGGCCACAAATCACTGTGAAATGACCCCAAATGCCCAAACCAAAAGCAGGATATCTATAAAGAATCTCCCAGAACACTTAGCAGGAACTAGGGTGAAAGGGAAACAGAGAAGGCTTTGCTTTCCAATGAGGACACCGAGGTGATTATATAAACAGGGCAGAGATAAATTACAGCTGTTTAACACAGTGTTATACTGGAAATTTTTAGCTTCAGCTCAAATTGGAATTGCTGTGATCCACATAACCCTGCCACATTGATAAAGCAATTTGGTATTAATTTTTAAAGGAATTAATCTGCTCTCTTTTATTACAGTCTTCTTTTTTTAAACTTGCTTACTATCCTCAGCATGCACAGAGTTCTGCTTTAGGCTGCTGTGCTGCAGGGATATGCATACAACCTTCCTGCAGTCAGCTCACCAGCTTACAGCCAATGCAGGCTCATAAGGAACTAGAGCACCTTCAGAGATCCACCTCAACAAAAACATTTTTCACTTCAGTGAAGCTGCCAAAAATACAAGTAATGCTGAGTTAAAGGTTTTGTAAAGCTGATAATGCCTTCTATATTCAAGTCAATAACTACATGCAACTGGGTTACAGCCTCCATTTTACTGGTGTTCAAAAGCAAAGTGTGTATATAAATACTGCAAAGAAGGAAGAGTAAAGTCTATGGAGCAATTGATATCACCTACATTTATTCAGGCAAATACTATTAAAATGCATGTCCCAAATAAACCATGTGTTCTTGAAGAATTAAGAAATCAAATCCTCCACAGAGGTCAGGAACTGCACATCTGCCACAGGAAACTTGAGAAGGGCTGAACTACAAGATCTTTTCCTCCTCTTCAGACAGGTTGTATATAAAAAGTCTAAAGTTATTCACACAACACATGTTTCCTGGCAGGTCTTCAGAAGGGCTCCTGGGTCACCCAGAACATCCTGCACACCAGCTCAGGACAAACTGCCAGCCTGATTTACCAGAGTGTTTTACCTAGTGAACTCCTGAACACCCTGCAGGATGGTGCCTCCCTGAACTCTCCCGCCCAGCACTCCCATTGTCCGACTGACCTCCCTGTTCCCTCTTTAGCTTTGGGTCATTGCTTCCTGTTCGACATGCCATGATCACCTGAAATAATTCCTCCTCCTCCTCTGCTCATGTTTCTCTCAAGTGCCTGGCAGCTCCGTTCCCCCAGGCAGGCTGTATATAGCATGTTCCTGAGGCCTCTCCTCAGAGATCGTGCTCTCCCATCCTTTCATCATTTTTGTCACCTCTTTGAACTTCTTTCCATTCATTTATTTCACTGTACAGCCCTAATGATAAAAGCAATCCATACAAATAATACCTCTACTTGCAAATGGAAAAAACACATCCATTGCTAAATGAAAGAAGCAGGTGAATCCTCACTGTCTCAAGGAATCAGCCTTTAAGAGTCTCAGATTCCTATGTCCGGGCCAAAGAAATTAACAGAGAAGGTAAAAGTGCTAAATCTTCCCGTTTCTGAATTATTAGTTTTTCTTATCGCCTTGCAAGAGGATCACATATTTTTCAAAATACAAAATTGTTTTCCTGGCACACATACACCTGTTACAATTGAGACAAATATATCTGGGATTTCTACAGATGGAGAAAGGAAGATTTTTCTCAACTGTTTAAAGAGAGACAGTCTTCAGATTTGCTTCAGTCCCGAAATGTCCTTTTAATGCATAGCCTAAGATAGTTAACATTCCATAAATGCATTTACCATCCCTATTCTGAATAAAGGCTGATTCCAGGTTTACAGCAATACCATTAAAATACTTTTTTTCCTTCTCCTCTCCATTCTTACCATCAAAGCAGTTTCATAACAAAACACTAAATCTTGAAAACTTAGAAAAGGTCAATAATTTCTACTGCAGTAACTTTGGCACATGAGAGAACCAGGCACTGAGATGTTAAGACAGTTAAATGAGAACCACATCTACATAAAAATTAGAGAAATTAAATTCTTCCACAATTCAAAAGTTTTTCACACATGAGATTGCAAAGTCCCCTAACTTTGTACATCCAAAATCAGATGAGATCTCTCTGGCCCACCAAAGAGATGATGAGACTGAAACCCAGACCGGTATTTCTAGGAAGAACAATATATCACTTACAGTATCAAACAAGGCAAAATAGATCTTGTATCAGCTTCCAATGGCTGGTATCTATGACTTCAGCTAAGAAAAATCTGTTAAATCTGTGTATTTCAGCTTTCATAATCCAAACACTGTTCTTATTTTTGTTTTGCATTTCACCAGAGGGTTGGTGTTCAGCACCTGGTTTTCATGAGGATATGCTATTAGCCAACACATTCTAACAAAAATCTGGTTGAAATTTGTCAGATAGTTTTCCCTACCACAAAATATCAACTCAGCAAAACTGAAAATCTTAATAAGAAATCTCTTTTACACATGAAATTTTCCATTTCCAAATTTAAAATTTCTTTTTTCTTCAACTTCTTTTTCTAACTGGAGTTAATGAAAAGGGAAAATAAATATGTGCAAAATCAAAAAATAATATCCTTATATTTTCTTCTAGCATTGCTACTTAGATTTTTTTCAGAGGGGTTTTTTTTCCCCAAAAACTGAAAAAAAATCTCAAACAATTCCCAAGGTGTAGAGTGAGATTAAAAACAACAGCAGTAAGTATAGAGCAGTATGGTACCCATAGTAAAACATACCAACTGTGGAATTGAGTAAAGCCATCAAAGGAACTTACTGCCACACATTGTGAGTGATGCATTTCAGTAAAATACATAAAAATGTGTATTTCATTTAAGCTGCAGGTTGTTATTCTAGACTCCCTGAAAATGTGCTGTAGATAATTAGTTGCACTTATTGACTGAAGAACTGCAGTCATTGTAACTCTCCACAAAATATAAGTTCAGTCTGGGAAGGATTCTCCCCTACTCTGCACCTTGTATCTTCAAGCCTTTGGAGAATTCCTTTCTAAGATTTAAATTTTCTCTTCAAAAGCTTTTCTGAATCAATCAAGATTCAATATAGGAAAATTGCCAAATAAATTACTTTTCATTTCTGCCCACTGTTAAACTCCTGCAGGGAGCTGGAAATACATCAGGGTCATTAGTCTTAATGCCTATAATGCACAGTGCTTTAAGGTGAAGTGAGCAGTAAAAGAGTTGAATACAGTTTAATACTGGCCCCTACCCTGGAGACACCTCAGGGCTCTGGCAGGGCACTCACCTGGCTCACCCAACAACCCCAGAGCCCTGTGTGCCCAAGGGGACACAGCTTCCACCCAGCTGGGGTCTGGATAAAACATTTCCCTTTAACCTGCTTTGGAGAGTCTGTTAGGAGTCCCTGGCAATGTGCATTTCTGCTGGAGCTTTCCTATGGAAAGAGCTGACTGAGCTGTGGAGAGCTGCACACACTTGGAGAGCACGTAACTCCCTCATTCTTCTACTGGAAATGCCTGTGTGTGCACAAACCTGAGGAGAATTTATCCCTCTGCTTAGTCTTTTCCAAATTACCTATTTGCCTCAGTTATTTAAGGTAAAATTTACCTTGTTATTTAAAAAAATCACTAATGAACACAAATGTGGATAATTTACTACGGCTAAGGCTGTTATGGTTAAAAAAAAACCCTAATGAGCTAATTTGAGTTGATTTTTTTTAATTTAACAGGCTTTGATGGAGCAAAACTGATAATTGGAAACACATCCCATCCACATTTTAATTTCTTGGTTCAGTCATATCCCTGGTTAGTTAAAAAAAATTCAAATCCCTACTTTATTGCCAAAATTTTAGCTAATGAATACATAAACTTAAACTGAGGCTCAAATTCTCATTCTCAACTCTGACATAGAAAGCACTGTAAAATAATTCATTATTTAATATTAAGAAAGCTGGATAAAACTAATTGATGCCAAAACTTAGCCCACAGCACATTAATTAAAAGTTTGCCCAACAGCTACCTCCCTGTCCTAATTAGCATCACTGATTTCAAGAAAGCACTAAGAAAAGAAGACAAACATATAATTCCAACTTTATATTTCATAAAAAATCTCTTTGATTCAACTTGCAACCATCAGTAATGTGCCCCTTTGATACAAATTTGGAGACTACCACAGCAAAGACAGCTCTCTCAGGCACATTGTGTTCCATTTCTAATAGATTATTGCAGATTTTCTGGTCACTCATTAACAGTGGTTGAAATCCAGGGCAAAAGTATTGCTACAGAAGACAACCAGACAAAAATGATTACCCTCTAGAGAGCTGTGTATTTTATTATATAATATCTGGCCCATGTTGCCCCATTTGCATTAACCACAAAGCAAGAATTCCATGGAGCATGTGACATTTCAATTCCCTGGCAATAGAGTCTGACGATCTTATTTGACATTAAACAACCAGCACTGTCAAAAGGGCAAAACATGGGTCACAATCACGTTTCTGAAATGCTGATGATAATAAAAACCTGTGCACTGACCTCATTAATGAAAGTCTGGGCTCCCCGTGGGCTCAGGAGGAGGATGGCCCTGCGCAAGGTGTCCCGGTAGCGGTTCAGCTCCTCCGTTTTCATGGTGGTGAAAAGGTTGGAAAACACTCTGCTGATGTTCCTGTCCACTTTTTGTAATGATACATCAAGTCCCAGCCTGGAGGCCTGGTCCAGAAATCCCTGCAGTCCACGTATATCTGCAACACAGAAGGAGGAGGGGAAAAAAGGTAATTAATTAATTAATTAAAAAGAGACTATAAAAAAGCCACTTGCATGAACCTCCTCCAGTTAGGCAAGCAGCACTAATTAGGTATAAAAGACTTTTTTTCATTTTGTTTCCTGCAGTGCTTTCTCAAGAAGAGTATTCCACGCAGCCATTCTCCATAGTTAGTGCCAACAGGGAAACTCCATGAATTGCCTTCCCCTGCCAACAGGGAAACTCCATGAATTGCCTTCCCCTGAGGTCTGAGAACAACTCTTAGCCAGCTCATGCATTTGGGTGGCTCTGCAAGCCTCCCCTGAGGCTCAAGGCTATGGGATTTAACACTGAACAAACAAAGTCCCACCCCAACAGCATCACGGGTCAAATGCAGAAATTTGGGAGCAGATAAATAAGCAGGGGATAAATTACTCATACCTAAACTTCTCACTTCCTATAACCTCACACAGTTGCTTTCCCAAGGAACAAATACAAGATCCAGAACATACACTGCCTTCCTTTTGACTTACCCTTTTTTCCCTGTCCTGGAAATAACCTGCCTAATCACAGATTTTCCATTTATCCATAAACTCATATAAGAATACACAAAGCCCCAGTGTAATGACAATATATTTTAGTGTTTAAGAACAAAACAAAGTGGTTCAAAGAAGATAAATCATGCAAACAAGTCCCTTCAAAACATGTTCCTTTGAGCTCTGTGCCTCAACTTCAGGATTACTTGAAAAAATATATTTTCCTTAACCACAATTTTGGCCATTAACATGAAGGAATACATTTCATATGTTCATGCTGAAATCTGCTTGCTCAAACTGTGTTCAATCTTCATTTATACTCTCAGCATTTGTCTCTAATAAATGTCTGAGGTTTTATTTTGTAGTGAAATTTGGAACAAGAAAAAAAATCAAACCTTATATTGAACCAGGTTGCTCTCAAAATTAGCAATGGCTCAATCACAGCTGTACCATGTCCTTAGAAATCCTTAATTTTATGGGAAAAACGTCTAACTTGTCATGAATAACAAAATATTGAAGCCTCTCACATTCATTTCTCACACTTTTGTCATTAAATTTCAGCTCATGGGTGAAGCCAAATGGAGGAAGTTAGAGCAGGTTTACTGGTCCCATAGTGAAACCTTCTCTTCAGAAAATGTCACTGTACCTAACAATCTCTTCAAACTACATTGTACCAGCTGGTGGATAGTTTGAGGGGTTTTAAGTCCTGAAGTAACCACGTTGTGACTCTGCTCAGGTCAGAGGATGGAGCCCAGTGCAGCTGAAGGCAGGAGCACTCCCTGCTGCCACACCTGAGAGGGCTCTCACACCACCCCCGAACATGGTCTTTCATGGCCACAGAACACACAGCTGAAGCCCTTGTCATCCTCCTTAAAAAATGACATATGAAACCCAACATAAGTAACACCTTGTGAGGATACACCAGTTTAGCTCATGTGCAAGTGCAATGTATTGGGGCCAACTACCAAATGTCAGATCAAAAACAAAAACAAGCTGCACTGAGTAGCTTCATACCTCTATCCAAACATGAAAATGCGTGTTCATGCGATTAATTTGGCTTCAAAAATCAGCTGAATTACAGAGAAACATCAGAAATAGTAGAAACAAAATTTGGGTTGTGCCAACAACAGCAGTCTCTGTACTGAGCTTTTAATTTTGGGGTTTTTTGACGTGATCATGCAGCCAGCCAGGCACACCATCAGGAAAGGTGCACTCATGAGGGCTGTGCTGATCTTCTGCTGCTCAACTCAGGCAAGTCTAGAGCAGCTTTGTCCCACTGTCACAAACCTTAGACTTGCTCACCATCCTAAATCCCCAGTCAGGGGGAAAGGAAGGTGTTTATTGTTATGCAAGCATTTCTGGAAAGCAAGAGGACTTCAGCACATGTATAACTGCTAAATATTGCAGATGTGCTAAAATAATGACAGTGACAAACAACTATAATTTACTGGTTAAAGCATTTCACAAAAGTTGTCAAAGTCAGTTTGGATTTCGTGAATTTACATTCATTAGACAGCATTCATTACTATACCTGTGCAAACTTTGTGGATATGTGTGACATAAAACAAAAAGATTTTACTTTCAATGATGTTTAGTCCTTCAAAATTACTGCAGTGCTTAACAAGCAGTAAGAAAATTCCCTTTCTCATGGTTTAGTAACCACTTGTCTTTCTGTGCAAGCCTCCAAAGGAAAGCTGTTTACAGAAGATTAACTGTGCTGATATTGCTCTGGGGGGTTTTTGCCTCATGTTTTCAGCTGACCTGGTGAACTGCTGGTTAGAAATGTTCTCGAAGACAAGTGCAAAATACTTGATGCACTTGGTCAGACTATCTGGACTTGGAAGGGCATTGTATATTCCCTTTCAAACCCTTCCCCCAAGGAAAACTGACTATTTTCCAGTTTGAGAAATGGAAAGGATTCTGAGTTTTTCCAGCTAGGTGAGAAAGCAAAATCTGAGGTGGATGAGATTGTCCAAGCTCAACTGTGCAAGCACAATCTGTGAGTTTTTCACAGATAGAAGTGAATGTGAATTTATTCAGTGTTGGCAATTAGAAAGAACTGTGTGATGATACCTTCCTGAATGCTGATATGCCTGCTCCTACTTGACACAAGGAAAAAGAAGAAGGCTTGGTGGGAATTCAAAGGTGGAAGTGGGAACTGAAGAGAATTGTTTGAAGAGGTGAATAACAACTTTAGGTGCCTACATAATGGAATCTTTTTTCGCAAATAATTATTCACAACAATTACCAAGAGGGCAATCATTTCTTAAAATGTATCAGTACACAAATACACAAACACATGCTCATATGCAGGAGCATCTGTTTATAAGACATAATAAATTAGGCTCAGTCTTATTTTATCTGACATCACACAAGGAAGTGAGTGCCCTCATTTTTTCTCCTCCATTTAGAAGATCACAAGTCCATGCAACACTAAAGAAAAAACCGAGCTTTGCTCCACAGCAACTGAAATTGAAATATTCACAGGTACAGTTATGAATTTCTTTCTACTTCTCATAATCTAGGACTGCTAACCCTTCATTTTCTTCAACACTAAAAGGAGTTTGATACAGTTCACATAGAATTTTATTAAAATAAAGGGTTCTGTAAACAGTTTTATCCGTTAAAATACAATTGTTTCCTGTTTCTTGTAGTCTTAACAGAGATTTTTATTAAAAAGTTTGGATTCTAATATTAGAGAGTTGTCAAGGACCACTGCTAATGAAATAATCCTTGTGCCCATTTCATTTCACACTTTGTAGGCCAAGTATAGCAATCCAAATTCTCACTTCAGTCTAGAACAAAGGACAGACCAGTTTGATGTGGGTACACAACCTACAGCTACCTCTGCCTTCAGTCTTACAATTACTTGCTTCTCTCAGGTTGTAACCTACACTTGGCCTTTGAAATCACATAATCCTACTAATTGCCCTTCTGATTTTAGCATGCTTAGCATCAGGACTTTCAGAGGCAATATTTGAACATTTCCTGTTAGATAACATCAGTTTCTCGAAGAGGATGAAACACTTTAGAAGAAAAACTGCGCTAGAGAAAATACACTTCTTCTAAAAGGGATCCATGACACCACACAATAATTGGGTAAGTTTACAACAATCTAGTGTCAAACACAACCATGGAATCAGCAGGCTGGAACTGGAACTAGAAAAAAGTGAGACAAGTTTAAAAAAAAGGTAAGGTGAATTTCTTATGAACTTTGTGCCTCTTCTGTTACATTTGACCAGAGAGAGAATAGAATCTGTGTCTGAGAGCCTTCATCCTAATGCTGACAGATAAACCACATGTGCAGCTCTGACAACAGGAGGACAGGACAATTTTAGGGATAACAATTACAAGGAGGGAAGGAAAGCTTTGATACACTGCTAAGATATGAATTCTGTCACTGTGACAACAAAACTAATGCTTGCCATAAATAAAGGGCTTTATTGTGCTATAAGGAATAATGGAATGTATAATTTCCTGCTGGAGGTTAGGTTGGGTACTGTGCTGGCTGATTGGAACACAAACGTAAAAGAATAGTACTAAATGCGGCATTACCTACCTATAAAGCTCATTGTCACCTACAAAGCACTTCATTTTTATTACATTATTTATAACCTTTTTTATACAAAAAAGTTCCTAGAGTTTACTGTAGCATTCATCTTTCATGAATTTACAGGATCTGATTCTTGGCCTTGACAAAAGAGCTTGAAGCTATTATTTCTGTGTGAAATAGCTGTGTGGCTGGGCACAGCTGGCCTTTTAGGATGGCTCATTGCAGAAAAGAATTTCCAGGAGGTAAAGAGTACTATATCGTCTTTTCAACACCAGTTCCTAACCCCACTTGACAGAAATGGAGGCAGCACATGGCCAGGAAACATTTTACTTTGGGTGGAAAACAGCTGGAAGCAAACTGAAGTCCCAAGCTGGAGCTGAAGGCACAGCTGAAGGAGCAGCAGGATATAATTTCACACCCTGTCATCCTCATCCAAGCAGATTCTGGGAGGAATAAATGTCGTCACCGAGTTCTGTTTTCAAATAACCTACGCAAATCCCTTCACTGGTACATTTGTAAAAGGGAAAAATAAATAAGTGTGAAAAACAATGAGATCAGGCAGGAGATGGTGAGGTTTGGAGTTCTCATTTGCAGATTGCAGGCTCTACACTTCACACTTCTTTTTCCCCAGTGTCAGTTTTATTTGAGTGTTGTTTTGATGATTTTAAAGCAGCGAGAAGAGTATCAGGGAGGCTTGGATAGTTTCATTATTTTAGCGTTTATACACTTGCAAAAATAAGTTTACCTTTTCCAAGAACTGAGGATGGGTATTCAAGGCATTGTTCTTTATACTTAAATTTCAAGAGAGAAGAAAAAAGAAGTTTCATCTCTCATTCAAAGATATATTTTATTGTCATTTTGATTCTCTTCAAATTGGACAATTATTTCATTTCTTGGCACAGAATAAAACAC